ATTTTTATCCCTAATTCTTCTACTGAGCATGTGCAGAAATTCACCTGGTTTCTGATTGGATAAATCCTGAAAAAACAGTGAATGCTGCTGATTTTTGATTGGTCACTTGCTGTGGGCGGAGCCTCACCTGGAGCCCAGTCCAGCAGCTTGTCCATCTGCTCGCTCCTGTTGTACTTATCAGAGTAACGCTCCACATCTGGACAGGAAACATGAAGCACAGGTGAGACTTTCACAATAAAGCTGCAAAACATCAGCCGGAAGACGAGCCAAGTATGACCTCTGACCTCTGTGAGTCACCAGCGGCTGGATGAAGCAGGGCAGACTCCTCATGGCGCCTCTGAAATCCTGCTTCAGGGCCAACAGATACTCCGCCTCCTCCCCGCCTGTCAGGGGGAGGGGCTTCCGCTCCATCACCTTGACAAAAGCAAGGCATTAACTCCATGTTCCAGCATGCATTGCTCTCACCACTTTAATGACTTAATTTCAGACTTAAATTACAGCCTGTCTGTGTGCATTGATCAGATTATTGATCAGTGATGGAAGACAGACCTCTGTCAAACTCCTGATCAATAATCAATAATCTGAGAGGACAGGAAGCTGAGTGTTGAGATAACATGCGGCTCAGATTGTGGTGTTTGTAACCTTGTAACCAAAATATCTGAAAATGTTATGTTTGTGCACAGATGAGGATTTGTGTGTTTGTTGTGCCTGCGGGTCTTTGTGTCTGCAAACACACCTTAAAAAATAAATAACTTGTGTTTTTGTAAAACATATTTACACAACTACAACGTCTGAGTTACAACAAAATATTTACGACCAAAGTCTGAGCCAATAACACGGCGTTTTATTATCAGCATGAGTTACTGGCGGGAACTGAGTGACATCATTAGGTCACACCTAGTCTGATGCTTATCTTCCCCCCCCCTCCGAGTGATGCAGGTGTGTCTCTTACAGGAAACACAGGTGTGGGCTGCTGCACCGATGGAGGTGGAGCATCTCCTTTGACTGTTTCCATAGTGAAACTTAGCGTCCTCTGCCCCCGCCCACGTGCCGCCATCGCTGCTCGGATGGGTCGCACAGATCCACTCAGCAGTTAGAGCAGAACCTGGATCAGAACCAACGGAACACAATTAGAACTCCACCCGTCTCCAAAACA